CTTTCGTCCACGGTTCTTTGTTTAATGCATGCTTAATTTAACGTGAGCCAAACCGACTGAATAATATTAGATAACAGTGTTAATAATAACAGTGACACCAACACAGTGTTCCCATGCATTAAGTTGACCCTGTGGCTGGGCACATACAACGGAATACAATCAGTGAATACCCACCGACGATGCTGAGAAACACGAAGATCTGCATGATGACTGGGGCTCACCGCTGACTGTGGCAACTGAAGTCTGGATGTTCCAAAGTAATACATCGGTGTTTAAATACCTTTCGACAGTAATTACCCCATCCACTAAAATATACTTGAATCTCTGAGACATTGACACAAAAGCCACCTCAGATATTACTGTGGTCACGAAAAAATAATAAATTATCACTAACGGCCACCATAGTTTATTGTTGCTGTGGAGACTGAAATGTGGGAATGTGTCCATACTTTTGTTTTATTGCTGTTGATTATGTACTTACCTATATGGTCTGATAATTAAACGCGATAAAGTGTGGGATAATGTTAGACATGGCACTGACAGCAGTGGAGTTCAAAGGAAGAAACAGCTTAACGTGGCCAGCTGTGGCTAAAAAGATCAAGTGTGGGAAAGATCCAGACGGGCCCAACTTCTCGGTTGTAGACTGCTCGAAAGGTTTCGTTTAATTTGTTTGCATTTTTTGTTGCCCGCCGTTGACCCGTTTAGTTATGGTGTATGTTGTATTAGGTTACTTTTAAACAATGAATAAACCAAACTATTAAGAGGCAGATGGAGACCTAGAAGAATATGGATCGAAGAATCAGTCGTGCCATAATTCAGCGACCTCTCATCTGTTTAACTGAGCACAAAACAGTTGTTTACAAAAGAAAGAAAAAACGTTTCTATATAATTTTTTCTGACCACAGTAACAAAATGTCTATGCATATTTTGTTTCAAACCCCACCCCCTCCCCACCCCCACCCCCCCCTCCAAACTGGACTTCAGGTTACTTTGTAACTGTTTGTTGTGCTCCAATATTGACACCTTTCCGTCTTTCCAGATAACAGTATTGTGGTTTAAGGAGGTGTAGAAAATACAACTTATTGCAGTGGTGAATGTGGCTTGCAAGGCTAACACGCCACAAGAACAGTTTTTAAATTGGCTGCATGAGAATCTGGGATCATTTTCGTCACTGCATGTTGTTTGTCTTCTCTAACGCTCAGCTCTTAGTCTATCTGCAATCACCTTCTCTTTTGCCTCTAATCCCCTCCTAATCTTTTCTCTCCATGCAATGCGATCTGTGGCAGCATGTATCCATGATTTACCTCAATACCTGTTTCATTCATGTCCTGCTTGCATACTTCTTTGTAACTGAGCAGCGGTCGACCAAGAAAGTTTCTGCCTGTCTGTAATTCACAGCAGGTGCTCCAATATAACTGAGCTATTCGGCTGTACGGTTGAACGAGGTTTCCGAGATGTGCGCCTCTTTGATTCTTATCCTTGGGATGTTAATCCTACAGTCTACCATCATGAATAAAAAAAAAAAAAAAACTGTTCGGTTGTTTTATTTTTCCTGACTCAGGGGAAACAAGGGTCTTATCTTTCTATTTCAAACCACACAGAAACTCTGATTATCAATCAAAGTGTGTTTACACTACTGGAGATGCCTTAGGCTTGAAAAGCTAGCATCATGTTGCATCAGTCGTCACTGCAATCTGTGCAGTTAAACCTCGCGCTTTGTGTTTTTTTTTTCCAGCAGCCTTTACTGGCTTAGAACAGCCAGATACAGGATGTTATTTTGAGGAAAGTAACAAACACCCAGATCAACGCAGTCGTTCGAACCAAGTGGAACACTTCCTTGGGAGGACACAATCATGAAGATCCAGTCAACCTTTGTAGACGAAAAATACATTTAGTTTGCCTACTGGACACAGCAGGCTGCAGTCATATGTACAAGAAATTCAAGACTGGATATTCAGAACTTTGCTCATGTGGACAAACAAGACAGAAGACCTAAGGGTTTTTACAAACATGTTCTTTACATGCAGTAGAGAGATCAAAGATTTGGCCTGGTGGCATTCAAATGGAAACTAGACAGTATGGAACATAATTCATACAGGTGTGTGGCCTTATTATCTGAGAATAACTGGCAGGAGAAACCAGTGTGTGTGTGTGT